TGAGGAGCTAGAATAATTCTTGATTAAAATTAAAGTATTTTTAAAAAGCCAAAATTAGTCACTGGACACAACCAGGCGGTTATCTGCTTTACTTACCGAGGGTTTTTTTTTAAAGCATTCCCAAAAGTTCACAGCAATCCAAAACTTGCCAGAGGCCTACAAAATTATGTAAAACTTGACTGCAAATGCTTTGTGCTCAAGCATACCCAGTATAGAAGTAATGCCCACAGGCACAATAATTATTTTGTTCAATTGCCTCTGACTCTTCATGACTTCCTACGGGGTTTTCCTGGCAAAGATACTGGAGTGGTTTGCCATTTTCTACTCTAGTGGATTACCCAAACTGAGGTTAAGTGACTTACCCAGGGTCATACAGCTAGTAAATTGTCTGAGACCCGATTTGAACTCAGATCTTCCTGACTCCAGGCCCAGCGTTCTATCAACTCAGCCAACCAGCTGCCTCCACAATAATTATTACTTTTAAATAATTACCTCTGAATCATAACAGACATAAAATTAACGAAGGCAGTAATCAAACTTCTCTCAGTAAATATAAGGGCCAAAAAGTCATAATTAAGAGAGGTAAGCCTGACCTAGTAAATAGAGATTTGGCCTCTGCCTCAGGAAGGCCTAGGTTCAAGTCCTACCTCTAACACAAGGAGTGAGTGATCCTGGGAAGTCACTCTCTCATGTCCCATGCAATTTTCTAAGACCAAGTTTCTGAACAGGTCCAGAAGTGCATAGTCAGAGGAAATGTTCTTACCAGGGAATTCCCTAAAGCAATGAAATCACAGGTCTGGGTCTAAAACCAGACAAAACAATCCATTATCAGATTACAGATGTAGAGCCTGGAGGAAACTAATGGATCATCTAATCTAATCCAATCTAATCTAATCCTTTCATTTTACAGAAGGGGAAACTGAAACTGAGAGATTCTAAGTGACTTGGCCAAGGTCACACAGCTCAGAGAGAAGGCTAAGTGACTTGGCCAAGGTCCTACAGCTTCTGAACAGCAGAGCCAAGACTGAAATCCAAGCGTTCTGGCACCAAGACTCCTTCCATGGCTCCCATAATATACTACTGTAACACATGAAAAGTTCAAGACTTAAATTCTGGGTAATTAATAATTTTATTATTGTTACTACTAATATTACTGTTAATATTATTATTATTAATAATAAGATGGTCATTTGACTTTCTCTCATAAATCAAAGATCCCTCCTGGAGGCATCTTGATGCTTATATACCTTAGATTCCGAATGTGGGCAATACTGACCCTTAGGGGGGTACTGAAACAATCCAGGGGGCAGTAGTAGCCTCAGGTGCAAATGGGGGGCCTTGAAAGGATAAGGAAAGAAGATAAGAAAATTTTGAAAACCATATATGTGTTTCATCTATTGTGTAACAGGATTAAAGTCATAGCAATTACATTATTTCCCAAATAAACACACAAAATGCAAACTATAACCAATGAGTAGTCAAGTCACTGACAGGTCTTAACAAGCAAGTATTGGCAGGCAAGTGTACCACCCACTGCCCAGCATGTATCAGAATGAATGTTTACAATACGGTCACATGATGCAATATTGTATCATCAAAATTTCAATGCAGGAAAAAAAAACCCACAAAATTTGCAATAAATTATTAAATTTAAGATGCATCATTTTTTTTGAAATGATACAAATTTCAAAAAGCAACCATTAAAGGGTTAAAGAAAATAGATTTTGGGGGGGTGATAAGTAATTTTTTTTGAAAAGGGGTCAGTAAGCCAAATACATTTGGGAACCTCTGTTACATATGCTTCAGTTAATGAGAGAATGAATATTATAATGAGAGGTGGACCTATTCTATGGAGAGGCTGGGGAGCTAGCTTTGCTTAAGTCACTCTTAGCTCTACACAGATTATCCCCAGCCTCAGGTAATCCACACAAAGGGATATGCCCCCCACCCAAACCAGGCTGAACAGAAAGCAATAGGGTGAAATCCACCCAGATTAGATTTTCTTTGTAAGATTTCTCTTTCTAGGGGCAGCTAGGTGGCACAGTGAGTAGAGCACTGTCCCCGAATTCAGGAGGGCCTAACCTACTAGCTGTGTGACCCTGGGCAAGTCACTTAACACCACTGCCTAACCAAAATAAATAAAACAATCTCTTTCTAGTTGGGTGGGATAAGAATCCCACCGAGATAAAATGGTCTGGGTGAGCAAGGTCAGAAATCACCTGGAGAGACTGGACTTTGAGGGAGGAAAAAGAAAAGAAAAATATTAATGTCAATTAATAACTAGTTATTAATATGAGAGAAAAATAATCATTTCTCTCACTAGTCAGGGCTTACCAAGCAGCAAAGCAGAAACCTAAAACTCCAGCAAAATGTCAGAAGGAAGAAGAAGAGTAAGCCAATGCAGTGGTTCCTCATACCCTTTCCTGACCATCATTACCAATCTGGTAATAAAAACGCCCCTGTAGGCTTGGTACTGGGCCAATTGTAACCTGAGGACTCAAGAACTGCCACACTAGGTCAGAGCAGCCCATCAATGAGCCTGACAGTCCCTCTTGGCCAATGGTATCAAGGGATGCTCTTGTTGGGAGAGCCTGGGTGACTGATCTGATCTCAGATATCATTAGGGACATAGCCAAAATATCCCCAAGTTCTAGCTAAGCATTTCATATCATGTTTTCTTGAAACCCCACCAGCAAGAAAGGCGAAACAAGAATTCCCCACATTTTACAGGTGAGAAAACTGAATGATTTGCCTAGTTACAACCCTAGTAAGTGACAAGGCTGGGTTTCAAACCCAAGTCTGTCTCTTGACTCCCAAGTCTAGCATGATTTACATTTATGCTCAATCATCAAGCATTAATCAAACACCTAGTACATGCCAGGTACTTGGTTAGCTCTAGGTACAAAGACGAAGATGAAAGTCTTTGCCCATTCTATCAGGGGAGACAACAGCAGACATAATCAAACAAAGTAGATACAAAGTGAAAATAAGTTAAATGTCAGGAAGGGACCATGATATAAAAGTTTAATTACCCCCAACGGAGTTGGTTCTAAACTAGGTTATCAATTGGGCAATTAACCACAGAACCATAACTCTCTACTGAAAGAGGGCAGAGTACTACAGACAATTGATGAGATTAGAAATTCCTGGAAGGCAGAGGCTGTATCTTCTTTTTTCTCAAGTCCTTTGCTCCCTCCCTCTGGGGACAGAATATAATTCAGTGCTTGGTGCTAAAGGAAAGAGGTATAATATGGCTTCTGATTAAAGAGGTCTGGTGCCCAGTGAAGGTTCTTTCAAATTTGGGGACAAAAAAAAATCTTCCTTTCCCCCCCAAAGCTGGGAAATATCTGGAGGGAAATATGGAAGACTGATCCTGTGATTTCTTAAGAAAGGGAATTTCCTATGTGAGTAAACCTCCTCTACCCACACAAGGATGGCACTTTCTCTGCAAATTATAGTCTTAGAAAGTGTTCTCAGAGGGGTTAAGTGATTTGCCCTTAGATTAGAGTCCAGCTTACCCGATAAACCTGTTGTTTTTTCAGCTGGGTCTGACTCTTTGTGACCCCAACTGGGGTTTTCTTGCCAGAGATAGTAGAGTACAGATGAAGAAACTAAGGCAAACAGAGTTAAGTGACTTGCCCAGGGTCACAAAGTGCCTGAGGCCTGATTTGAACTCAGAAAGATGAGTCTTGCTAACTCCAAGGCCAGCACTATCCACCGTACCACCTAGCTGCCTATACCCTCTAAACTACAACATGAAATGTCGGGGAGAGAATCACTAAGAAAGCAAACAGTTCTTTGAAGATATACTATCTTTTCCAAATCAATCAAAAATTTACTGAATGCCTACAATCTTCTAAGTACGTGCTAATGTTGTAGGAGTTTGCTCACAATATCTAACATAAATCTATTGTATAGCCCTTTTTACTGCATCTTTTCTGACACAGAGAGAGACCCATAAAGTAGATGGGCTGATATTATGAATCCAATTTTACAGGTTAAGTGACTTGTTCAAGGTCACACAGCCAACAATGCAGCACGAACTGCCCTGGAGTTGAAATCAGAGCAACTGCGGTTTGAATCCCAGGTGTTCTCTCTCTTTATCTGCCTCCTTGCCTTCCCTCATGTCTCTGTTCAAATCCTACTTTCTCCAAGAGGCCTTTCCCAGGCCCCTTAACGCTAGAGCATTCCCGATGAGACTACTTCCAATTTATTCCCATACTTAGCTTGTACATATTCTGCTATCTGAAGTATTCTTTGTGGGCAGGTGCTGGTTTTGCTTTTTCTTTTTATCCTCAGGCTTTTCAAAGTGCCTACAGATAGTGTGTGTTTAATAAATGCTTGTGGAATTGACTATTATATTATGTCAAATGAAAATATCTGTAAAGCTCTTTTCAAATCTTCAAGTTTTAGACAAATATTAGTTACGTCACCAGCCTCTCTGGGCCTCAGATCTTCATCAGTAAAATTAAGGAGTTGGGCTAGAATCGCTCTAAGGCCTCTTCCAATTCTAAACTTAGGATTTTATGATCTTATTACCTGAAAGAACTCAGATCTTCTAACTGCTATTCCAGGGCAGCTTTTTATTATACTGCAAAATGGCACTCCACACCCTCAAAGTGCTTCCAACTTAGATGAAGTTAAAGCATAAAAGGTTTAATACCAGGTAGAACTTTTAAGACTGGCACAGGCAATAACAAGATTTTCTTCGCCAAATAAACTCTCCTGCAGCAGTAAGACCTCTGATTTTTCGGGGGGGGAAGGGAGAGCGCAGCGTGTGCACATCCACACCCCATCTTGCTCACCCAGATCCACAGCTCAGCAGGCTATCTTGGGACTGCAAACTAACAGATAAGGGGTTGACCCGAGGACTCCTTTTAACCCTTCCCAGGCAGCGGCTAAATTAGCAGCCTAGACGTCAGGGGAGCGGAAGAAAGCAAGGGCGAGGGTCTGTAGGGGTGCTGGAGGGGGAAAGGGAAGGGGACCTTGACCCAACTCACCTGCGTGATCCCCGCCCCCATGAGCCCACCTCCAATAACAGTCACGTGCTTGATGAGGATCTTCTTGGCCGAGGCCGCGGGTCCAGTGGTGGAGGAAGAGGAGGCCATGGAGCGCACGAACTGTCGGGTGACGAAGGCCATGTTCTAGCTGCAGGTAAGCACCGCTTGGGTAGCTAGCCAGGTAGATCTGCGCAGGAAGAGGCACAGATTATAGAGGCCGGAGAGAGAGTGACCGGAGACGTCACAAAGGGAAAGAGGCGGGGTGGAGGCAGGGCGTGGAACGTTCGGCCCCCAACGTTCTGCACCCCATTGGTCAAGTTCTGCAGGCTCCGGTTGGAAACGTCTCGAGGGCGGCAGCCTGGCGACCACGTGGGGGGAGGGCTCCAGCCTGTCCCCGCCCCCCTCGGAGCCCCAAGCCCAGCTGGGCTGAGCTGTGACCTCTCCCCGCTTTTCAGGCTCGCTCCTTCCCCGCCCTCTCTTGGGGACCCCCAGGCTTTGCTTTTGGGGAGAGGCTCCATGGGGTGCAGGGAGGCTCTCCTTTGCGGAGAAGTGTGCTGTGCTGCGCTTTGGAGTGTCCTCGGAGCCCTCTTTTTAAAGGAATCCTGTGTTAGCGCCCAAGCTAAACAAACGAGATGTACTTTGTACGCCACAAATTCTCCGTGGCTTGCCAGCGACAGAGGCTCTCACTCACGTTCTAGGAGGTTGCCCAAAATAGGTACGCGGATATTTTCTAAGGCGCCCCATATGTTTTACTGTATGTATACCACTAGGGACTGATTACTTCGGTTGGGATAATAAACTGTTAATACCTGCTTCTGGATGGAAACGCAACCAAGTTCCAACACATTTAACCAGTAGTATTCGATTGTAAAAATTATTAATCTTCTGTCCAGGATAATTGCCCCCAAACTAATAGCAACTGGGGTGGGGGGGATTTCGGTACCCTAATCCAGTTTCAGTACCAAGCATCTAAAATGTGCCCAGCTGGAGTGGCGTGTGCAAAGACAAAAGACAGTTCCTGCCATAAATGAGTGAAATTCTATTGAGAAAGTAATACTTTTTAGTCAGGAGGGCACAGACTGCTAATGTCTAGAGGCTGAAGGTGAAACAGCTAATAATACAACTTGGCTAGAAGGTAGAATTTGTGAAAGGTAGTAGTAGGAAATATATCTGAGAAGGAAGACTGAATTTAGGCAGTGGAGGGCCTTAAATGCTACAGTGAGGAATTTGTATTTTTTTTTATAAGTGATAAGGAGCTGCTGAAAGTTTTGGGGCACAGAAATGATCTAATCATTAGGAATGTCTCCAAGGATGCAGGTGACAACCCATGTATATGTTGCCCATACTGTTCAGCTCTAGTCTGTGGCTTCCCAGAATTTTGCTGTAGGCCCTCCCCCCCTTACTTTGTCACTTTTGTCTTTTTATCCTCAGGACTTAGTATATAGGGACTGGAACATAGTGGCAACTTAATAAATGCCTCTTGATTGACGTTAGGGGGATAAAAAAGAATATTTATTTTCCAGGTTATAATTTGCAGACTTGCAGTTAGATGGGTGTGTGTGTGTGTGTGTGTGTGTGTGTGTGTGTGTGTGTGTGTGTGTGTGTGTGTGTGTGTGTGAGAGAGAGAGAGAGAGAGAGAGAGAGAGAGAGAGAGAGAGAGAGAGAGAGAGAGAGAGAGGGTGAGGGAGGGAGGAGACTGGATCTGTGATTTCATTGGTTTAGGTTAACTCCCAGTCAAGGAGATTGCCTCTTCCCATGTCATCATCTTATCTGAAATTTATGGCCTTAGACTTGGCTCCATCACTAAAAGATTAAGTAATTTGTAATGGACTTGTATTTGTTATTATGTTGAAACAAGCTTTTGGAACCTGAACATCATATTAAATTTTGATTGTGGTTGAATCAAAACTATGAGAAAATGTAAGCAGTAGTTATACCACCATGAGTAAAAGCAATGCTTAAAGGCAGATAAACTCAGATTAAATTTAATGAATAATACAATTTCATGAGGAGAGTTGATCAAACACATTTTTTCCTCCTGCTAGAGAGTAGGTGACTATAATCAACAAACATTAAATATTCTGATAGAAATATTCACAGTATCAATTGGTTTTGTTTAATTATTTTTCTTTGTTATAAGGGAGAGTTTAGAGGTGAGGGAGTAGTATATAGGGAAATGACTGGTATAAAAAAAACAAAAAACACTGAACATTTTAAAATCAAATGAACTTTTTTAAAAAACTAAAAATTAAATAAAAGAAAAAAAGATTAAGTAATTCGCCTAGAGTGATATAGCCAATATGTGTCAGCATTAGGACTTGAATCAGGTCTTCCTAGCTGCAGGGTCAGTTTCCTATCCACTATCCACACTGCTACTGCCTACCCCTCTCATTATGTAACTAGCTAGCTAGCTTCCTTATAGAAAAGCTGTAGAATTGCTAGCTGACTTCATGATCCAGATCATCTAAGCTGACCGCCTCATTTTATAGATGAGGACATTTTTTGAGACACAGAGGGGAGGCAGTTTGCCTAGGGTTCCATGATTAAGTGGTCCCCAAAATCTGGTGCTTTTTTCCCCGGACCATGTTAATTTTTTTTTTTTGAGGCAGTTGGGGTTAAGTGACTCACCCAGAGTCACACAGTAAGGGTCAAGTTTCTGAGGCCAGACTTGAATTCCTGACTCCAGAGCTGGTGCTCTATCCACCACACCACCTAGCTGCCCCAACCACGTTAAATTTACCAAAATAGGCCAACATCTCCACAGAACAGAGTGCACCAAAGTGGTCCCCCTGTCAAATGAAAGGATGGATGGGATGAGCTGGAAGATTTCTACCACTTCCGCAGTGCCATGTAGGATTTCATGGTTTATTTTACTTGGGAATATCATGCTTTCTTACCAAGAAGACAAAGGGCTGGACTGAGGTATGGTTACGTTGGTTGCCATTCTACATGTCTTAATTTATGTACTTAATGCCACCATTTATGTATTTAACTTCTGCCTTTGCATGAGCTCTTAGTTCCCAATGCCTGGAACTTTCTCCCATCTCTTTTCTGCCTTTTGGAACTTCCCTCTAGGTCTCTTCAAAACTCAGTTCAAATGCCACCTCCTACAGGAAGTCCTCCCTCATATCAGCAGTTGTTGGGAACTCTCCCCCATCTCCTTGAAATTATTTGGTATTTATTTATCTGTAGATATGTTTCTTTCAAATAAAACTTAAACTCCTTGAAAGCAGGAGCTGTTTCATTTCTTGCAGTGGACACTCATTGACACGTAGCAGGCCCTTAAAAAGTCTTGTGGATTTAAATGGAATCAATAACAAGAATAATAATAGCATTTGTATGGTACTTCAAGGTTTGGTCAAGTAAAAGTTATATCATATCTATTAATAGTTTGCCTTTGCTTTCTTCAAACTGTGGTCTTTGAGTTCTCAGTGAACCATTAAAGGTTTTTGATGTAATAATAATATTTTCTATCACACTTTAAGGTTTGCAGAGTACTTTACAGTTATCATCTCATTTTATCCTCACAGTAATGCTGAGAGGGAGGTGCTATTATCATTCCCACTCTACAGATGGTGTTTTTAGCTTTCATCTTTATCCTGATGCCGTGCTATCCTTCTTTTTACAAGAAGTGTGTGCTCTGGGAAGCCTGATTTTTGCATCTTCTCTCTCCCTTTCCCTTTATTGCTTGTGAGGGTCATGGGTGAAGCTGCTTCAATTGGACACTGAGGACATAGCTGCATTCCCCCCTAAACTCTAAGAAATAATGCATGATGGTGGCCATACACCAGTTCAGACATTTGATACCCAGAACCCAGATGTCATTGAAAATAAGGTCGCTGAACCATTGTAAAAGCAGGATACAGACTCTGAGAGGTATATAATAGGAAAAAAAATGTGATTGGAAGAGAGATGTCATGCCTTCCTGAGATCCATGAGGGAAAAATTAGAGGTAATTGCATTTTCCATTCTTTTTTTTTTACATTAAAAAATGGTGTAATTTGCCCCAGACAAGCCCCAACATTCCACCTCAAACTGCAAACCCTCTCTCATAACTGATGCCAACTGCTTCAGAATTGGATGAAGATGTTGACAACCCTGTGAAAACTCACAGTTTGAGCCACTCTTCTCTTTAATGTGGGCAGCAGATCGACTCAATGTGCCTTCCTTTTTGCTACATCAACTTTCATAAGGTATATTTTTCTCTTTTTAGTAAATGCTATTGACTATGCAGCTATTTGGGAATTAGTTTTGGGGGGAGCCATGGCAAGGAAGCTCACTTTTTAGAATATGTTAATAAAAAGCTATATCCTCTAAATTGAGTTACAAACCTAGAGAAGGAGAAATATCAGTTAGCACATAAAGAAGTGTATCTCTGTGGGGCAAATAGGCTTCTGAATATGAGCTATTTTCTATAGATGCTTATAATATATAGAAACATATGGTCTCGGATTGTCAACCAAACAGACTTTGACCTTAAGGGAGGTTTGTTGGGTTTTAAGAGAGAGGAGTGTTTCACGGGTAAACACATAGGTTAGACCATTTGTTGGGAGGGAGAACACAGGAGGGCTCAACACTAACAGGTGTTCTAGCAGAGGTTCATTTTTGATCTGGTCAGACAGGAAGGCAGCTTTGGAGGGATTAAACAAGCTTACTTTATTCTAGTCTAGTTTTCTCAAAAGGGAATTTGCTGATAATGGGAGCACCAATTCCTACAGCATTCCCTAATCACACTTCTCCCGGGGGCTAGTGAGGATGGTCACACCAGTCCCCTAAACCTCAATAGGGGCCAGTTGAGGCAAACACAGTTTGCCCCGAAGCCTTGATGGGGGCCCATCAAGGCAGGTACATGTATTCCCTTATGTCTTACCCAAATCCCAAAATGGGTTCCCCACTCACTGCCCAATGCCCACTTGCTTTACAGGGCAGCAGACAAAGAAGGCATATTGCCAACAATAGCTTCACAGGTTAACTTTAGCAATATCATCATTCAGCGCAAGCATATTAGTATCACTGATGTCATCCCCACCGTGGTGGGGATGTTTTCAACCTTAATTTGTGGGAAATTTTACCTAGGATCCTGGAGCTATCATCTAAAAAGGCATAATAAAATCCTCCTTCCTTACAGGGAGACAGAGACTTTTTAATCTGCTGGTCTCTCACTGGCCTCAGGGGTTTAAGATTTGGGTGGATTCAGTGTACAAGAATTGAGGGTAAGACAAGGAAAAACATGACCGACCACCCATTAATACTTGAAGTG